TTTTTTTTTTATAGTACGTGCAGAACTACTGAAATTATTTTCAGATTACACATAAACTGATTATTTTATTCCACTAAGGAAGAACTTTAGGGTTAGAATTTTTTAGTAATGACCTACTGAGCCTTCTGGCACAATTTGAAGCCATTCTATGGGACTGATAACCTCTAATAATGACCATTTATTGGGATGATAACATCCAAAGCTGCTGGAAACAGCCACTCATTATTTAATGGTTAAAGAAGACAGAATCAAACTTAAGAACCCCGTGATACGATGAGGTTCTATCTATTAGAACATGTTTAGACTTCATCTTCACCTGCTGCGAGATCATTTCACCTAAATAGATACATTGATCTACTACCATTCAATAAATATACCTGTAATGTTATCGTGGTCAAAGGCTATGGCTGGCCGTTTTGATAAATACTAGCTTTAGTGAATATGTATTCCTGATATCTGAAAAAAAAAATGTTTCCTTGTCAAACTGACCAATTAAAACAAAATTACGTACTTCACATTGAGTGGAGTTCACTCGAACTCCACTCGAAAGCCCTAAAAAGAAAAGGCAACGACGTATTTCGACAAAGACATGGCTGAGCAAACGTGGCTACTACGGTCTGTCAATTTTACAGAAAGAACTCCATTTCACCCGCATCCCCGCCATGCTTCTGTTTGAGCATGCCCACTGAGTGATTTGCCCACGATAGTCGACTAAAAAATCTAACATTTTTGATTTTCTGCCTACCTCACGATTCCTGATCAGGAGATGGTTGTGAGAGGCTTATCGCCCCTCGTTACCCCCTGTACACTACACGACGCACAATTAGGCTGAGAGTCGGGCCGATCGGAAAATTCTCGCGCGACTGGAAAGTCACCTTGAAAAGGGAAAAAAAAAACGCTCAGTGTAAGCCCGGCTTAACTCGAACAACAATTTTCTCCTTTGCCATCTTCCTTTCCTTGGCAGCTGTAGCACTGTTTCAATGTCTTTTAAACACATTCTGATTTTTTTTTTGTATTTCTTTAATAAAATCTCTAGTTCCAGTGGGGTGAAATAGACACTTCCTGTTGTCATGGTAACTCGTTGAAGCTGTGCTCCACTGATAATGGCTTTTAATACCTGTTAACCACTTCTTAAACTGAGTGGACCTACTTAGAGTTGATTAAACTAATTCATAGAAGCCGTTGTGAAACAAAAAAGTTCTTGACCTCAGGATAGATTGATTTAGAGTTGCGGATTTGTTAAACCTGCTTGATGAAACAAACCCCAGATACCAGAACTATATTTGGGGTTTTAAAAAATTCTAACTGATTATTTGCTGGGAGAGCATACAACGACCTCCCTAAGATATTATTTATACTTCACATTTATATCACTAAGACTTTATGTTATATTGAAACTAACATAAGTTGTTTTCAAATTGTGAAGCCCTTTTTATAAACAAATCAGTCTTAAATTTTGATGCCATATTTTGTTTAACAAATCATTCTTAAAACATGATCTGCATTTGTATCCAGTACATCTCAGTTAAAACTTTGCAGAGCAATATTATATCGCAATACAGCTGGATGTCTCAGCTAGACATTGAAACCTTAACCCATTCTTTATAGTTTCACTTAACATCATATTACTGTTCATAATATGAACTAGAAGTAGGATTTCAAAGGGCAAAATATCTCTTGTTAATTAATCCTCTCATCCATACTGACCAGCTTCTCCACTGCATAATGCAAGTGGAAATTTAGGTTTTTGTGCATTTTAAGGCTGCTATATTCTTCACGAGAAGTGACAAATGTGTTGTTGCTTTTTTTTCTCAAGGTGGCACAAACAGTTTGTTTTATTTCAAAGTATTTATGCTTCATAAGAAAGTCAGCTCACAGAAAGTCGCTGACATCCACAAAAGAAAACAACACAGCAGCATGAAGGCAGGTGTGTTATTTTTTTAGATTGGTGAGAGCAGGGAGTAAAGTGCTTTATATTAGCTGAAAGATACATCATACCAATGTTCCTATTTTATCCGTGCCTCTGCCAGTCAAACCTGAAACCACTCATTGAATAACAAATCACTGTATGAATTTTTTACATCGGAAATAGTCAAGAGTGTCTGGCTGCAGACCTCACGTTTCAGTCGCTTCCGCCTTCGTTCTCAGTCGCGTCCGGTTGCAGCCTTCCAGCTTCGTCCTGGGTTGCTTCCGCTTCCTCCTATTTCTCTGTTGTCATTGGAAACGCGCAGATAATTGTAAACAAATCTGAAGAATTCACTAAATAATGCTTCTGTGTAAATGTTTTAAATAGCGTTTGTTTGGCGGGGATTAATAAACTGATAAATAAATAAAAAATGTTTATGAAAATATTATGTTACCGCGGTTTCAACAAATCTGAAGAATTCACTAAATAATGCTGCTGTGTAAATGTTTTAAATAGCGTTTGTTTGGCGGGGATTAATAAACTGATAAATAAATAAAAAATGTTTATGAAATTATTATGTTACCGCGGTTTCAACAAATCTGAAGAATTCACTAAATAATGCTTCTGTGTAAATGTTTTAAATAGCGTTTGTTTGGCGGGGATTAATAAACTGATGGATAAAATTAAAAAAATGTTTATGAACATATTATGTTACCGCGGTTTCCACCGTTTATTTTTGCATGTTGCATGTTTTTGCAGGTACATTATTTGCAATACTGTACCTTAACTTCATTGTGCAATTACTTTCCACTGCACTTTAATTTGGAGAGCTTCTGCCAAATTTTTAATTCTGAAACTGCTGTACTGCACATATTAGCATAGCCTAACTTATGTATATCTATCGTTAAAAATCATGTTTAAAGATATAGTAATAGTCATGCGTATATACATTCTTAGCAAATATTCACCTGTAAACTCTGTCATAACAACCATCTAAATATTGTTTATTGTACATATCTGCTAAAATTCTATTTTTATGGTGATATCCACCTGAATATTATACTCAGTACATATCCAGCTGTAAAGCTGTTCACATTACTATTTATTCTTATATTAAACTCATAGTACAAATCTGTAAATTCTGTTTATAATATTATTCATCTCCATATTTATACAGTACATATCCATGTACTGCACTCATGGAACCATTGTATATCCTGCACTTTATTGATATTGCACTTCTGGTTAGAACTAAACTGCATTCCGTTGCCTTGTACCTGTGGAATGACAAAGTTTAATGTAATCTAATGTTATAATATAATGTAGATATATTGGGTATATATATTATATTAAAATATATATATAACTATATACATATAACTAACTATATATACATTTTAAGAACACTTTTCCTTTCACAATTACTACTTAAACATTATTTTATACATGTTGTTTTACCAACTGTAAATAATCTTGCCTTGCTTAAATAATCTGAGTAAAAACCATGGTTATGACTTAGTTTCGCTATTCACAGTCTAAAAGATACACTATATTGCCAAAAGTATTTGCTCACCTGCCTTGACTCACATATGAGCTTAAGTGACATCCCGTTCCTAATCCATAGGGTTCAATATGACATCGGTCCACCCTTTGCAGCTAGAACAGCTTCAACTCTTCTGGGAAGGCTGTCCACAAGGTTTAGGAGTGTGTTTATGGGAATTTTTGACCATTCTTCCAGAAGCGCATTTGTGAGGTTGCACACTGATGTTGGACGAGAAGGCCTGGCTCTCAGTCTCCGCTCTAATTCATCCCAAAGGTGTTCTATCGGGTTGAGGTCAGGACTCTGTGCAGGCCAGTCAAGTTCATCCACACCAGACTCTGTCATCCATGTCTTTATGGACCTTGCTTTGTGCACTGGTGCACAGTCATGTTGGAAGAGGAAGGGGCCAGCTCCAAACTGTTCCCACAAAGTTGGGAGCATGGAATTGTCCAAAATGTCTTGGTATGCTGAAGCATTCAGAGTTCCTTTCACTGGAACTAAGGGGCCAAGCCCAGCTCCTGAAAAACAACCCTCACACCATAATCCCCCCTCCACCAAACTTTACACTTGGCACAATGCAGTCAGACAAGTACCGTTCTCCTGGCAACCGCCAAACCCAGACCCTGTCCATCAGATTGCCAGATGGAGAAGCGCGATTCGTCACTCCAGAGAACGCGTCTCCACTGCTCTAGAGTCCAGTGGCGGCGTGCTTTACACCACCGCATCCGACGCTTTGCATTGCACTTGGTGATGTATGGCTTGGATGCAGCTGCTCGACCATGGAAACCCATTCCATGAAGCTCTCTGCGCACTCTTCTTGAGCTAATCTGAAGGCCACATGAAGTTTGGAGGTCTGTAGTGATTGACTCTGCAGAAAGTTGGCGACCTCTTCGCACTATGCGCGTCAGCATCCGCTGACCCCGCTCCGTCAGTTTACGTGGCCTACCACTTCGTGGCTGAGTTGCTGTCGTTCCCAAACACTTCCATTTTCTTATAATACAGCTGACAGTTGACTGTGGAATATTTAGGAGCGAGGAAATTTCACGACTGGATTTGTTGCACAGGTGGCATCCTATCACAGTTCCACGCTGGAATTCACTGAGCTCCTGAGAGCGACCCATTCTTTCACAAATGTTTGTAAAAACAGTCTGCATGCCTAGGTGCTTGAATTTATACACCTGTGGCCATGGAAGTGATTGGAACACCTGATTCCAATAATTTGGATGGGTGAGCAAATACTTTTGGCAATATAGTGTATATCGCCTGGTGTTTTTACTGTAGCTTTATCTGTAATGTAACATCTCACTGTTTCTCTGCAAAATTCTTAAATGGGCCAGAGTGTTCAGTAATTGCTGTTAGTAACATTGTTGTTTACATAGTCTTTACATTATATCGTCAAATTTTAATGTAAAATATTTTTAAACTGTCAAGGTGTGAGGACCGAAGGAGGAGGAGGACCCAAATGGAAGACTTAACTGATTAATTATCAAGCAAACTCAGGAACAAGGTGAAAAACATGCCTTCTACAGTCTTTCTGCTAAACAATTAAACAGCATAAAATATACAGTTGATAAATTTAACAAGCCAATAAGCTACGGTTCTAAATCACCTGGTTGAAAAAAATTGAAACAGCAACTTTAGATTTGAAATACAATTTAAAAGTGAATTGTTCACTTTGTGCAATGATGAATAATGAACAAGTATTGAATGCAATGATTTTTTTTATTCTCGGCATTCACAGTAAGCCAAATACCCTCGGCTGTCTGTAATTTCCTCACAAAATACATTCATGTCTTCAAGGTTCCTGAAAAAAAACTTGAAATTCTCCAAGATCGACTCCTTTTCGTCTTCATCCACTTCCTCATCACCCCCAAGCTTTTCATACTGCTGTACAGCCTCTGCCAGTTCCACTTCCCCCATCTTCAGTATGTCAGGCAATTCCACGGCATCAGAGAACAAGTGCAGGTTTGCGTTAACCCATTCTGCGGCCTCTTTACAGTCATTTGCAATCCTGGCCTTCACTCTATCCTATAGAAGAGGAAAGGGACAAGTGCTCTTTCTAGTATTACATTTATTTTATACAGTGTATTCCACACAGTGATAGATGCTCGGCAGAGAAATAGTAATCAAACCTACCACTTCAACTGTTGTCTTCGAAGAGTTTTCAACGGAGACATCTTTGTCCTTTTATTTTTTACAAAAAAGGGTAATCTTAACACTGATATAAATGTAGTCATAAGGGGGGGAAAAAAAGCACAATTTAAGCAAAAATGTGTTTAATAAAAAATAAGCTAACCTCAGAGATATTCTCAAACTTTCGCTTCTTCAGTCTGAACACTGGTTGCACGTCACCACGCAGGAGGGCTGTTGACATCTCCGTCCAGTGTGCAAACATTTTATGATGGCTTAAATAAAATTGTTGAAGAAAAATATAAATGTATTATAGGTATAAATGTGGTACAAGCATTTTAAGGCAATCAATTGTCAAAGCTATTGTGATATTACCATCCAAGGTCAAAATTCTCCATCAGCATAACACACCACCATCTTCGCAAAGCTGGCATATCCATCTTAAAAAAAATTATATATGTGCATATATTTTTATACAGCATATCAGAGTGACATTAAAGAATTTCATGCTTTTACTGAATGAATAGGTAATCTTACAATAGTGAAATCAAAGGAGGCATCTAGCACTGTATAAAGGGCATACTGTGAACACAAACATTGACAATTAAATGTTAATATTTCACAGAATGTACTTTCTTTACAGAGTAGAATACAAGCACAAGGAATTTGTGTTCCTACCATCAGCATGAAGATGCCACAGTCAATCCCGTAGGGTTGTCTTGGAAAACCCTAGCATGTCAGGGAGAGAGTTTAGTTCAGCTGGTTTCAGAATATGGTTAAATATAAATAATATACTGCACTATTACCTCAATTTCCAACCCAGTAGTCTCTTTCCATGGACCAGGATTTATTGACTGAGAAAGTTTTCTATAATTAAAAACACTACAGCATTAAAGGAATAGTACACCCAAAACATGATTAGCCTTCATTTTCTACTCACCTCCATGCTGAACAACACTCTGGAGTACTTTTTTGATATCTCAAATGCATCTGGAGATCTGGGAGGCTTCTTGCTGTCTGCTGACATTCAAATAATGGAGGTCCATGGCGCCCGAGACAGAAAGGTCCATAAAAGTCCACAAAAACGTGTCAATATTCCTCCATACTGCTCGTCCAATGTAATCCAAGTGTCCTGAGTGGGTAGCATCCAGAATTTACTCGAAACGAAGTAATTTAGAATGTTTTTAGAGCATAAACAGTAGTGTATAGGATTTCCTAATAGCGCCCCCATGCGCGCTCACGATTCTACGGAAGCCGGCAGACCAAACCGGAAGGAAGTGCGCATTCAGCGTCTGGTCTGCCGATAATGCAAGCGTAGAAGAAGAAATGTGCTGTTTACCTGTGCAAAGAAAGAAACAACGAAAGAAAAATGTCTGAGGACTTCAGTGTTGAGGAAGAGCATGAGTTCTTTGCCGAGCTGAATGCGCTGGTTTGGTCTGCCGGCTTCCGTAGAATCGTGAGCGCGCATGGGGGCGCTATTAGGAAATCCTATACACTACTGTTTAGGCTCTAAAACGTTCTAAATGACTTCGTTTCGAGTAAATTCTGGATGCTACCCACTCAGGACACTTGGATTACATTGGACGAGCAGTATGGAGGAATATTGACAAGTTTTTGTGGACTTTTGTGGACCTTTCTGTCTCGGGCGCCATAGACCTCCATTATTTGAATGTCAGCAGACAGCAAGAAGTCTCCCAGATCTCCAGATGCATTTGAGATATCAAAAAAGTACTCCAGAGTGTTGTTCAGCATGGAGGTGAGTAGAAAATGAAGGCTAATCATGTTTTGGGTGTACTATTCCTTTAACATTTCTATGCAGCCATTATTATTTAAGTAGACTTTTTATGGTGCCAGTTTGTGAACCCAATTTCAGCTTTAAAAAAATTTAACTGTTAGATGACAAATTAAAAATTCTAAAACAGAATTGATATCAAAGATTTTCATTCGAATTGTACCATAAAAAGGCTTTTGCGCAGATCAGAACATGATCTGGCATTATTACACACAAAAAGATCAGAACGTGATCTGGCATTATTACACACAAAAAGATCAGAACGTGATCTGGCATTATTACACACAAAAAGATCAGAACGTGATCTGGCATTATTACACACAAAAAGATCAGAACGTGATCTGGCATTATTACACACAAAAAGATCAGAACGTGATCTGGTGAAAAGGAACTTGAACATTGTTCCAAAATGTAAGGTTTAGTTTGTGACCTCAACAGTTCTCTCATTTCTGGATCTCCAAACCCAGATTGTGCATTTGCACATTGTGAGTCCAGAAAGACAATGTCTCTCTGAGTTGGCTTCAAAACCTAAATTTACAATAGGAGTGAATGACATTTAAACTAAACTTTTTAACACATCCATAATACAATAGATATTCTGCAGTCTAGAAACTGTTCTCATGGAAGCTACTTTCCCCCATTAGCATTATTACTTACAGACAACAGGAAATGTCCAGGTTTCCACACAGGAATAACAATGGCATCTCTGAAGCGTGCATCTTTCTAATACATTGAAAAGACAACTGTAAAAATACATAGCAACTACAATTTAAATCTAAACCTGTAGAGCAGGTAGACTTACAGGTAAACTCAGAAGTGGGTTGGATGCAGTTGGGAGTCGCCATGTTGGAACCACATAGAGATCTGCTACAAAAATGGTCTTCCCCTGTGGATTATTTTGTAAATGTGAGCACAGTCATGATGATATTTTTGGAAATGCTACAAGACTAGCATGATACTGTGCCTTTCAATGTGTCAGAAAATCACATAAGCCTTATGCACACACTTTACAAAATTTGCATTGTATACCTTTGATTGAGCAATTTGTTCGATTAGCTCAAAGCACGCATTTCCAATCTGCAAAAGAAACAAAAAGTTCAACATAGCAGTCTCAACTAAATACATACTTAGCTCTCAAATAAATTGGCTACATCTACTTTCAACTCACTGTTGCGTCCATTTCATTGTTCAAACCAAGGCTCCAAAAGTCAGCACGTGTCAGGACACTCTTTCTTGTTTTCACAATCAACTCTGTCGCTGGCTTCTCAATGTCCAACACGTAGTTGAGCTGATGTGTACAATAAACAAAACATTTTTATTTGCCTTGAAGTACAGCATTGGTGTTAAAACTTATTTTCGAAGTTGTGCTACGTACCAGCTTCTCCTGGGTGGGATGACTTTGATCACTTGTCCATGATGCTCTGTATGGTCCAACGTTCTCACATCTTGTGATGGATTCACAATGTTTTCCACATTGGTCATTGTCTATCAAGAAAATTTAAAGTGAATAAAAACAAATCAATAAAATTGATATGAGATCATAGTACCCACCTTTCTTTCTGTCGGTATGAAGCCCTTGTTGCGAAGGAGTTTCAACCAGTATAGATTGTTTGGCCTTTTCAGATACTGCGGTTCCTGATGCTTGTAGAAAATAATTTATAATTATTTAACACAAATACTATTTGTCACGTTACAACCATAAAACAAAAACATTTCTATGACTTCATATTTACCAAATACTGCATGTCCAAAGGCATTCATGGTAATATCCTGCAAACAATGTGACTTATGCCCACTGTGTAGTTGCTGCTCCAAAAGCTTTGTGTTTGTGTTGATGTTTCTTTGATTTACTATGCTTCTCATCAAAAATATGTGGGTGGATGGTGCCATGTTATTGAGGAAGTAGTTGTTCTTCCGCATACTTGAAAAAAGTTGCTCGGCTACCTGGCTATTCAAGGAACTTTGCAGTTCTGGGACCAGGTTGATTCTCCTCAACACTTCCTGTGGATCTTTGGTGTTGGCCTCATGGAATTTGTCATATAAGACATAGTGGCTGGAGGAACCAGTGAATGGATGTCCCTCTTCATCTGGATTTTCCATAATTTCAGTCAGCCACGGTAGGGAGATCCTCAGTTTTTTTTGCTGAGCTGCGGTGATGTTGTCTTGGGTTGACGCAGCCAGCCTCCCTTCATGTGGCTTGAAAGGTATGGAAGTTGGAAAACGGAGGTTGACATGAGTTGCCAAACCCCGAGCAAAGTCATAAACACAGACATTTGGCAGGTGTTTCCAGGACATGAGAAGATCTGCAAAATCCCTTGGAGACTCTGCCCTCAGGTTGAACTTTAAACTGTAGACCACACCATGAGGGCACAAAACCACTGACCACCCACCTTTAAAGAAAATGGCAACAAGAAAGTTGTAAACTAAGTGCTAATTGACATTTGAAAATGGCTTTTAAGAACTATATGAAACCCTTACCGGATGCTCCCCAGATTTTCTGGAATATCTTGTCATACGTGTGCCTTGACTTCATCTCATCCCTTAGTCTTATAACAAGATCTGTCCGTGATCCCTTTGAATCCAAATTGCAGGCCTTGCATAGCTTGCGCACAGTTGAAACCTTGTAAAATAAAGATTAGAAATTAAATAACAACGCACAATAAAATCCAAGCATATACATCCATTAGAGAAGTATACCTTCTGCTTCATGAGCTCGTCCACTAGACGGTCCTCTGACACCATGCTGACTTCAGCTTCAGTGGAGGACTTCTGAAAAGTGGAGGAAACTTTTTCAAACTCTGTGTTCAACACCATTTCTGATTTTCGTGTATTCTTTCCAATCCATGGGGCCCAGTGCTCAAAACTAGGATTCACAGCAAAGATGTTCTTTGCACGACCTGAGAATGATAGACCAAAGAAGATATTAATGAAAGAAACTGCATAATAAACAAGTGAATTACTTTTAATAATAAAGAAAAAACTTTAAGCATGTAAATACTTTGAAAGAAGCCACGTGAAATCATTTCCAACTGAACAGAATCCCAGAAATCTTCTATATTCACTTTGCCAGGGAAATTCTCAGAGGGCTGTTTCAGGTCACTCACTGAAAGATTAAAATAATGTTAACAATGAAACAAGAAAAAAGATCAAACACTCATTCCATTCTGACTAACCGGGCAAGTTAAACACTCCTTTCTTGTGGAGGTCCATCACAACTACTGGAGGATAGTAGCCACAGCACACGCAAGAATAGGAATATGCATGGCTTGTCAATGCCTCAAAGTGGCAGTAAGCATGGAGAATTGTATCTCTGGGAGGAAATTTGACCTTCCTCAAGCTTTCCAGTGAGTTTAACACCTTGGAAACAGAAACACTGTTCTAAAAGAGAATGAAACAATAAATACATTTATTACTTTTACTATGTATATTATAACACAAAAAGATAATTTGATAATTTCTCCACTTACTTACCTGTAGGTTGTGTCTCAGATATATACATAGCTCAAGGTTCAAGATAACATGGTCATCAAAGTTGTGGAGACTGTCCTTCCATTCTTGGTATCTGTACATCATGCGGCACTGTGGACATTTCCGGTAATAGGTGGAAACATCTGGTGAAAAAAAACAAACATGAATTAAAGTTTTAAGCAGCAATCGACGGGCCCTCGCACGTCGAGATGCGAGACAGCCCAACTCTTTGGGAAACAATATATAAGCCTATTTAATAGAATTTCTAGGCTTAACTAATTAATATGTGTACAGACCCAAATAAGTAATAACCATAGTTACCATCACAATTTACTAATGTCATAATATGAAGTGAAACTTGAATAACTTACTTTCAATTACTCCATTCATGGTGATTATCCTTGCTTTTCCAGAAATCTTTATATCTTTTTGCAGATGTACTGACCCTGGACACACAGTGCAAGTAGTCTCCTCTGGATGCAACTCTGTAATGTAATCTGTCATTGCCCTAGGTTTAATAAGGTCATCTGGTAGGTTGGCCGGAAGCTTTTTATGACTGTGTATGTAGTGCACAAGTCGCTTCAAGTCTTCAGCCAATGGTGGATAGATAGCGTTTGGGTGCTGTTGAGTTGCAGTCTCTGTTCTGAACACGTCCCGGTTGTTTTGAAACAAATGCCATTTGCCTATGTTCTTGTGTACACATGACATTCTTGGTTTAGCACAAGGACAATGCCATGTGTTAGCTGTTGAGTTGTATGTCACCATGATCCTCCCAAGGCGACTATACTGATGTAAAGTAGGTTCATAAATGGAGAAACAAAACTGCTTGGGGGGTTCTGTAAATGGCACTTCAACACAGAAAGGTATATGAGCTGCCTGTGCATTCTTAAGCCTTTTCACACATGTTGCTTTTTTAGCCTCACCGAAGAATTTTAAGTCCACCATTTCAGTTAAGACATCTTCATGCAGATACTCTTCGGCAGCTGTTCCACTGCAGTACTCTAGTGAGCGGATGTGTTCACAATGGCTAGATGGTAATCCACTTCTGAATGCCATCAGATGATACTGCCTGCAGCTTTCCAACTCACACTGAACTTTGTGCTGATGACCCCAGGTTTTGTTTTGCACATGTATGGGCACAGAAAAGCCGTGACTTGCTTTTTGAACTACAGAGATTCCATTTGTGGCATCCACACAGACACTTTTCAAATGTTCAGTCACTGTTATGTCCTTTGATTTTTCAGCGTGTTTTCTCACAATATGTTTGGTCATGTTTTTTTTATAGATAACATTTTGGCAGTGAGGACATTTCACCTTATTTGAAATTAATTTAGTTGCTGTCTCCTGGGCAGATGGGACAACAATCGTTCCAGAATAAACTTCAGAGGGACCAAGAAGTGAATGTTGTTTAAAAGTGGAAGTTGGTGGAAACGGGGGAGACATTGTGGCACTTGGGTCGGTTTGAACTGTTGTTGGGTTAATTAATTGTACATAAGTTATTCTACTTTAATCATATTACTTTAATCATATTATACTTACACATTTTGTTATCTCTATCTTACTCATATTACAAAGAGTGTTAAAACATTTAGTTTTGTTTGCTGTGTCATTAATGTTTTTTAAGTCTGTGCAGGAGGGATGCTGACTGCGACTGCTGTTAACAGATGTCGTTAAGGGTGTGGAGGAGAATGGAGAACTGTGCAACTAGATAAGGAGAGGGGTTCTCCTTATCCTATGATGTTGTATGATGTTGTATGATGTTGTACGAAAATTCTGGTTTCAACTGGGTTCTGTTCCCTCCCCCTTTAGCGGTTGAAACCACATTGTAATCAGGGCGTTTCTTCAATAAAGGGCTTGGAGAGCAGATACTGCTTCAGAGTGGGTTTGAAGTTGTAACTGAATGCAGTTTCTGATCCCCTCTCCTTGCAAGTAAAATATACTAAATTCTCTGTGTCATTCTTTGTGCAGGTTGCTGAATAAGGTGTTTGGTGTTTAAACCTAACATTAATTGGTCCTTCGAGCCGGATTGCAAGATACCCGACGACCCCCAGCAGGTGAGTGAGATCCAGATAAGCCTGCGGCCGCAGCAAAGAGACCCTTTACGGGACTGGTCTCTCCCTTACAAGCTGGGGTCCGACGGTTGAAGCATTTCGAGGACGCAGAGAATTGTGAGTAGTTTTTCTTTTAATAAGGAGTGAGTGAATTATTGGAAGAAAAATATATAAAATATAAAAAATTTATAAAAATATAATAATATAAAAAAAAAGAAAAAAAGATCGAAGTGAAGGGCGTGGGGTCACGAGATTCCCCTTTTGAAGTCCTCTCAGCGTGGGGTCACGAGATTCCCCTTTGCAAACAGTTTAAACCTCGTGAAGGACGGCTGTGTCCTCTATCTTAAATAGTTAAATTCCGCATGGGGTAACGAGGTCCCCCTTTTGTACTAAAACCCTGACAATTCTAGACTCTATCAGGTAAAACAGAAATTTTAAAACAGTTAAAGTCCGCGGGAGGGCAGGCTCCCCTAGTTTGTAAGGGCAGGCTCCCCGAGTTGTAAACTAGTTAAATTCTGCGTAGGATAGCGGCGTCCTCTGTGTTTAAAATAAGTAAACAGAAATAAAGTAAAAGTTAACTGCGCAGTGAGTGTGTGTGTGTGTGTGTGTGCGTGTGTAAGGAAATATAGATATCACTAGATATCTGTATTTCATACCAAAAAGACAAGGGTTAAATGGTGAGCTTTTGTGGATGTTTGTAGACAAGAAAACTCCACCTGTAAGGGTTGAAGTGAGTTTTACCACAAAAAGTCGTTGATCACCATCTTGTCTGAAGCCCCAGTGTTTAGAACACGACAGGTGTTGAAAACCCACTGGGCCCAAATTTAGTTCAAAATGGGAAAGGGGCAAAGTAAAGAAAAACAGAAGTTATTGGAGGAACTCCAGTGTAAAGACTGGAAAGCAGTTGAAAATGATGACCCATGGGCGGTAGAGCCGTTGTGTTACTGGATAAAAAACTACGGTTTTAATGGTAAATTGAGCACCACAAACATAAAGGAATTGCAGCAAAAAATAAAAACAAAAAGCAAAAATAAAGACACTTTGATGGCAAAAGAAGGTTACATGCAAACCATGGTTTGGATGAAATTAGCAGGACAGAGAGAAGAGGGAGAGCGCAGAGCTAAAAGAGAGAGAGAGGAGAGACAAAGAAAAGAGAAAGAAGGGAAAGAAAGAGAAAGTGAAGAAAGAAAAAAGGAAAAGGAAAGATCAATAATGTTTCATAGAAAGGAAGATGACGAGTACGTAGGGCCCTATTCTGACCTGCTACATCAAATACATAATCTCCCACAAATGGGAGGTGCTGCCGCTGCAGCCGATCCCTCAGCTCCGCCACTCACGGGGGATCCTCCACAATATACTCCCCCACAGCATATACCTCCTCCAGAAGGATCATTGAAAACAGCCCCTCTTCAAGCAGCTTCTCCACAAGCTAATACCTCCCAGGGATATGCTACTAGGTCCAAAGGTTCTGTAGGAAATTGGTCAAAAACTTTAGCGACAACATTTAGTGACATTCTGTCCCCACAGGCACTCCGAGTGATGCCTGTAAAACAGGAAGGTGTAGGAGAAGTCCTTACGCTTCCTTTAATAGAATTACCAAACCCCTTAGCGGGCCAGGTTGAAGGAAATAACCGACAACCAGCCACAATAATGGTATATAGAACCATAATGGAAGAAAGAAAAGCAGCAATACTGCATGCGCCTAAGCCACTTACAAAGAAACAAATGATGTCCTTCTTAGGACTCACTAATTATTGCAGAAGCTGGGTACCAAATTATGCAGAAATAACTGCACCGTTAAACTTACTTATGTATAAAGAGGAACTGAAAATGTCAGACAACCTAAAATGGACATCTGAAGCAGAAGCGGCCTTCTGTAACATTAAGCAGGCTATGGTGAGCAGTTGCACGTTAGCACTCCCAGACTATGAAAAAGAATTTGTACAAATGGTGGACTGTAAAGGTCATTTTATGACCTCGGTCTTAACTCAAATGCATGGGAATAAATTACGGCCAATAGCATACTATTCTACTAAATTAGATGCTGTAGCATGTGCACTTCCACACTGTGTGCGAGCAGTGATAGCTGCTTCATTGGCAGTAACGTCCAGTGCTGACATAGTATTATTCCATCCACTGACATTAAAAGTTCCCCACTCGGTGTCTGCTTTGCTTTTACAAACTAAAATGACTTTTCTATCCCCAGCCAGACACCTCTCATGCATGTCTTTACTTCTGTCACAGCCGCATTTGAAAATAGAACGCTGCACGGTGCTGAACCCAGCAACACTTATCCCCACACCAGATGATGGGGAATCTCATGATTGTGAGGCTCTGGCTGAACAAACTGCTAAAAGTAGGCCAGATTTGAAAGACACTCCTTTGTCAGAAGGAGAAACATTATTTGTTGATGGATCCTCTAAAAAAGATGAAAAAGGGAAAACAAGAACTGGTTATGCTGTAGTGACACATACCGCTGTGCTAAAAGCGGAAGCTTTACCACAACATTACTCTGCACAAGCAGCAGAACTGATTGCTCTTACTGAAGCATGCAAATTGATGAAAGACAAAATAGTAACTATCTGGACAGATAGTCAATATGCTTATGCTACAACACATACCTTTGCACAACATTGGAAAAACAGAGGCATGATAACATCAACCGGGAAACTAGTGACCCATGCCAATTTACTGAAAGAACTTTTACAAGCAGTACAGCTGCCAAAGCAGCTGGCAATATGCAAATGTGCGGCCCACACATCGGGAAAAGATGCTGTTTCAAAAGGGAATTCCTTTGCAGATAAAATAGCAAAAGAAGCTGCTTTAAAAGAAATAACAGTATTAACATTAACAGACAATTCACTAAAAGACGACATCTTACAAGACATGCAGCAGCAAGCTCCTAAACAGGAACAAGAACAACGGAAAAGCAAAGGAGCACGATTAAAGGAGGGGATTTACACCTGACCAGAAAATAAACCAATCCTTCCAAAAAACTTATACAAATGGGCAGCTATGTTGACCCATGGTAAAACTCATGTGTCAACCGGAGGGATGGTAGGATTGGTAAACCAAACATATACGACCTATGGTTTTAATGCTTATTCAAAAAATTTTTGTAGAGCATGCTTAATATGTGCAAAGCACAATGCTCAGGGGAACCTAAGGCCTAAAAGAGGACAATTCCCAAAGCCAAACTACCCCTTTCAACATATACATATGGATTTTATAGAACTAAGCCCTAGTGAAGGTAAAAAGTTCTGTTTAGTAATAGTTGACTCGTTTTCTAAATGGGTAGAACTGTTTCCTACAAAACATCCAGATGCACTAACAGTCGCAAAAGCATTATGCAAAGACATAATTCCCCGTTATGGGATTCCAGAGAAAATTTATAGTGATAATGGCACACATTTTGTAAATCAGATAATAACCAAAATAGGACAAGCCTTTCACATAGATTTGAAAAACCACTGTGCTTATCATCCACAAAGCGCAGGCCTTGTGGAAAGAACGAACGGATTCGTTAAAAACCGACTTAGGAAATGTATGGAAGAAACGGGAAGATCATGGACTCAATGTTTGGATTTAGTTAAACTACACATAAATATTACAAGTACGACCGGGTTGACCCCTTATGAAACAATATTTGGCAGACCATATAGACTTCCCTATTTTAATAATAGCTGGGAAACAGATGATGAAAGTACTCTAGCAGACTACATGAGAAAGATGCTGGAGCAACAAAAGCAACAGCTGAACCAAACTGACAGTGTCCCACCCTCTGTGTCTCCACAGGAAAACCAATTAGTTGAACCAGGTGATTGGGTCCTCATAAAGAGCATAAAGAGGAAACATTGGTATTCACCTAAGTGGGAAGGACCCTATCAGGTTTTGTTGACCACTCCAACTGCATTAAAAATAGCTGAAAGAAGCACATGGATCCACTTGTCACACTGCAAGAAAGTGATAGATAGATCAGATGAGTAATGTGTAAAATCACTTTCTTAATTATTCTGTGGAACCTTACCGTACTGCTTAGCACTCTAGTAATTCTACTGTGGTACCTGTTATAGAATACGCATTTGGTCTCCTTCACCGACCTTCAGAGGAAGTCCATCGTACAAAGGGGGTTGTATTTTTTAGCATACAACCATCTCAAACTGGTGAACGTTCAACAACTCTGCCGAGAGGTCATAGGAAGTAGACCACTGTGTAAAAGATTACCCATAGGAAACTTTTTGAAGTTTGAACCTAGATGATGTTGCAACTTTTCATATTAGTTTTGTTTTTAGCTCTCACTCAGGGCAAGGATTCTTGTTGCCCCCATGAGCCAGCTATTTGTAAAAGGGACGTCTATCTCTGCTATAACTCTACTAGAGTAATCAGTGTAGTGACTATTCCTTTTCAAACATTCTCGCAAAGATTTAAAATTGACCCGGGAGATTGGCGAGGTTATGATTTCTACCTATATCCCCGTGTAGTTCAAAGAACTCAAAAGAGTTGGGGAGACGTTTTCAGAACCACTGGACAGTGGAAAAAAGGATCGTATGGATGGACATCTTTAGCTAAGAAATGGATGAGTAGAATATCAGGGTTCACTGTTAACCATGCCTCCAAAGTTTTCACTATGACAATAAACTCCACAGCAGAACCCCTTGAGAAGGAAGGCTGTTCTTCCTCATTTATATGTGCACGGTCTAGTGAAACCGATCCGTGTTGGACATTGTATCTGTGCTCTGCAAATGTTACACAAGAAGAAAATGAGATACAAGGGATTCTTACTTCTGCCCAAGGTGAACAGATAAAAATTCAAAATATTAATGACCCGCTTAAAACGGATGAACTGTTTCAAGTCACCACTGGAATCTCTGGGCAAACAAATAACTGGCTTTTAATGGCAGAACAAGCAGCTAAAACAGTGTCTAATGATTGTCTTGTGTGTATGGGAGCCAGACCGCTGTTACGTGTGGTTCCTGCCACCATAACTCCTCAATGTCTTCTAAATATAATGAATTATACAGTTCCAACTGATAATTGCACCTATTGGGATAAGATCTATCCCCTGACCACAGATGAGAAGAAAAAACCAATCTTTTTGAAGAAAGTGGCTGTGGCAAATTTCACCTGTGTAAACAGGACCGGAGTGGGCCCAAAATTGGGTACACTAAATGAAAAACAATGTGCAAGCATTTTACTGGTATCCACCTTTTTTAAACCTCAATCCCGCAGTGACATCTGGTGGTGGTGTGGAGATGACAGATTGTTTGACAGACTTCCATGCAACACCACTGGATTGTGTGCTGCAGTCACCTTGATTTTACCTGTTTCTATTACTTCACTCACAATGGATGAATTGTTAACGACTGTAAACAGTATTTTACCACATACATGGCATACTAGAAGAAGGAGGGCATCTGAAAATGCGTGGAGTCCAGATGACCCTACTTATATTGACAATATTGGAGTACCCAGAGGTGTTCCAGATGAGTATAAACTAGTGAATCAAGTTTCTGCAGGATTTGAATCTTTCTTATGCTGGTGGTGTACTATAAATAAAAATGTAGACAGGATCAACTACATCCATTATAACGTCCAGAGGCTGGGAAATAAAACAGAACAAGGCTTCTCCGCCGTCCATGAACAATTGTCAGCTACCTCTCTGATGGCTTTCCAGAACCGTATTGCTGTTGACATGTTGTTAGCTGAAAAAGGTGGTGTGTGCTCTATTTTTGGAGATCAGTGTTGCAACTTTATTCCCAACAACACTGCTGCAGATGGCAGCCTCACAAAGGCCCTTGAAGGCCTTCGCTCTCTTAACAGCAAAATGAAAGACCATTCTGGAGTTGACACAAAAATGTGGGATGGATCTGGAGACATTTTTGGTAAATACAAACAACTGGTACTTTCTATTTTGATGTCTGTAGCTATATTTGCCGCCATCCTGACCTTATGTGGATGTTGTTGTATTCCATGTATTAGAGCGCTGCTAAATAGACTAATTACCACTGCAATACAACCCATGAAAACAGAAATGTATGCCCTTATGTCCACTGAGGAACACCTATCGGATGATGAAGACAGCGAAGAGGATGAATTCTCTTTACACTTTCCTGACTTTTATCCTAATCCCAACGACAATAACCCACCAGTTTAAAGTACCTCTGAGTGTGCCCTTTACAGCTAAAAAAAGAAAAAAGAATGATTTCTTAGTTGAAAATCTGAAAAGAAGTAACTATTGAATGATAAAATAAATAGCTTAAAGTGAATAAACAGGAGGGAAATGTTGGGTTAATTAATTGTACATAAGTTATTCTACTTTAATCATATTACTTTAATCATATTATACTTACACATTTTGTTATCTCTATCTTACTCATATTACAAAGAGTGTTAAAACATTTAGTTTTGTTTGCTGTGTCATTAATGTTTTTTAAGTCTGTGCAGGAGGGATGCTGACTGCGACTGCTGTTAACAGATGTCGTTAAGGGTGTGGAGGAGAATGGAGAACTGTGCAACTAGATAAGGAGAGGGGTTCTCCTTATCCTATGATGTTGTATGATGTTGTATGATGTTGTACGAAAATTCTGGTTTCAACTGGGTTCTGTTCCCTCCCCCTTTAGCGGTTGAAACCACATTGTAATCAGGGCGTTTCTTCAATAAAGGGCTTGGAGAGCAGATACTGCTTCAGAGTGGGTTTGAAGTTGTAACTGAATGCAGTTTCTGATCCCCTCTCCTTGCAAGTAAAATATACTAAATTCTCTGTGTCATTCTTTGTGCAGGTTGCTGAATAAGGTGTTTGGTGTTTAAACCTAACAACTGTAGATGCAGATAAACTAACTTCTAAGTTGTGTTCCAATGGGGAAGAAGCTGAGGTAAATGTTAATTGTGTGGCACTTTGGCAAGCCTCCAGATGTCTTTCCATATCTTTCTTGGTTATGATTGTTTTGTTGCAAACAGGGCAATGAAAATGACCAGAATTCCTGCATTGCAAATTGCACTTACAAATCTTCTTATCTAGGAGATCAAGGAAACAAAAAACATTTAAATAGACTATGACGAACACGAAAACAAGTGAACATATAAATAGACAGATATGGCTATACTTACCTTTAAATGTAATGGCATTTTTTATGTGGACTTCTAGATGGCGCTGAAGCCTGTACGGTGGGCTGGGTTTATATGTAGGACAGAGGGGGCAGTGGTAAAGTTTGCAACATGTTGTGCAGCGTTCAACTGCAGGCTTTACATCAATTACAAATATGGATTGATGCATCTCTAAAAGACAGAAAGACAATTACAGATGTTACAAATGGTTATATTACATAAACATCTAGTACAATTAATTTATACAGCCACTTAAGTATTTGTCCACAGTGAAGAATGAAAACGTATAATTCAGTGTTACATGTTTAACATTATATTCAATTACATATATTGTGACACAATAAACTGCCTTGTAAAATTTAAACATACATATTTATCACATTTTTCATTTTAACTTGCTACCGTAACACGATATATTTATAAAAATTATACTCATATAAATATAATATTTCCAATAATAATAATTGGCCGAATCCATTCTCAACAACGGGCCGGTCAACAATTTAACTGGGACAGAACGATCATATCGATTAATAAGAATCCTATAGCCAAAATTATTTAAAACCAGGGACCACACCTAGTGTTAAACTTTTTATGAAAATATAGCACAATTAGAAAGGTAGGTAACGTAGTATATATACAAGAAGAAGTGTAATGTTATAACGTTACCTTTAAAACGCAAGTAGCTAACGCAAGCTAACGCTAGCCATTTAACATTAACGTAACTTTAAAATTCTAAACAATTTAATAGCCAAAGCACACATTCGTTATTTATATTGACAGATGAATGTTTTTGTGACCCCTGCATTCACCGTTTCTTCAATGTTGGGACCACAATAACCAGTCGCATACCGTTTTCTGTAGTTGTCTTGTGTCTTCGCTGAGTAAGCAGGCAATGGCATGTAAACAAAAAAGGCAGAACAGGAAGCGGAAGCAACCCAGGACGAAGCTGGAAGGCTGCAACCGGACGCGACTGAGAACGAAGGCGGAAGCGACTGTAACGTGAGGTCTGCAGCCAGACCCCTCTCGAAATAGTGGGAAAAATCATCTCTGCCCTTCTTAGTTGACAAATAACAGAACTGTCCAATCACAGAACTGTTCTTGGAAATGCTGCAAGAAAGATTTCTGCCCTGAGGTTATATCAAGAACAAGCAGCGAGAACCCTCACGCCAGTGCTGTGAGAACAAAATCATGTTTTGTTGGGGGTTTTTTTTGTTCTTGCAGATGTGGCATTGGATGTATTGACGGTTCAAGCCCCCCCTCTGACTTTCAGTGTCTTTGTGTGCGTGTGCAAGACACTTCACCTGCATTGTCTACTGATGGTGGTCAGAGGGCCCTGTGGCGCCAGTGTACGGCAGCCCCGATTCTGTCAGTGAGCCCCAGGCCAGCTGTGGCTACAATGTAGCTTGTGCGTGAGTGTGTGCGTGAATGGGTGAATGAATGTAGTGTAAAGGGCTTTGGTCAAGTCGCCTGAATTGAATGAAGGCGCTATTTAAAAAAAAAAAAAAAAAAAAAAAGAATGAAGGTACATGCCATTTACCATGTGAAAATAAGAAAAAAAATGTCCCATCTATAGTTGAGTATGTGATGGCCTTTATATTTACATTTCCCTTGACGCAAAAACAAAATAAACTCCATCGGATTCACCATTTCTGTATTTACTATATTGTAGTTGTCTTGTCATTCTTTAATAAATCCCAGATTTGTAGAGTGCATTAAAATATCCTGTCTGGCAAATTCTTCCATGTAAGCAGTTGATTTCTGAAGGTTTTCTACAATGACAATAGATTTCTTGGCTAGTTAAACTGAATAAAGTTCATAAGTGTTGGGATCCGGGGCCTTGCCCACCAGAGGGTGCCGTGGATCCATGCCTGGGGAGCTTGGGCTCAGCATGGACAGCTGTTTTCCATCAGTTCATTAAGAGCTCTCCCTTTTTAAGCTGGAGTAGAGCTCCACTCTGAGCCGGATTGTTGCCTTTTCTGTGCCACCATGCCTGTCTGAACCAAGAACCTGCAGAACCCTGTGTGTTCCAATAAATATTGGACTTTTAATCTTCCCTCTGTGTCTGTGAGTTCTGCATTTGGGCTAGTAAAACCTGCGTTTCATGACAGAACAATCCAGCCAACAGACTAGCACAGCAGACTCCTTCTACGCGCTCCTGGGGAGCCCGCTCTGTGCCGTCTGGAGACCCCTGAGCCCGCTCTGTGCCGTCTGGAGACCCCTGAGCCTGCTCTGCGTCTTCCAGAGACTCCGGATGTGGGGCCACAATCGGTGGTTTCCTCTGTTCCTGAGGTGGAGCCACGGTCGGTGGCTTCCTCTGTTCCTGAGGTGGAGCCGCAGTCGGCGGCTTCCTCTGCTCTGGATGTGGAGCCGCAGTCGGCGGCCTCTTCAGTTCCTGATACAGAGCCGTAGTGGGCGGCCCTGTTTGAGCCTGTTGCAGAGCAGCGGGAGCGGAGACGGCGTCCTCCTCGGGGCTTTCTGCTGGAGCGGAGGGCGGCGTCCTCCTCTGAGCTTCCTGCTGAAGCGGAGACAGTGTTTCTCCTGGTGCTTCCTGCTGAAGCGGAGGTGGCGCCCTCCTCCAAGGCCCCTGCAGCTTCTGAGACTCTGCTCTGCTGCCGGTCCCATGGCCGGCCACCTGAGACTCTGCCTGGAATCCCTGGTTCGCCCTTCGCCCTCCATGGGCGAGTTGTTTTTGGGGGGTCTTTTTCTTTGGGGCGTCTGGAATCCGCCCTTGAGGGGGGGGGTACTGTTAGGATCCGGGGCCTTGCCCACCAGAGGGTCCATGCCTGGGGAGCTTGGGCTCAGCATGGACAGCTGTTTTCCATCAGTTGATTAAGAGCTCTCCCTATTTAAGCTGGAGTAGAGCTCCACTCTGAGCCGGATTGTTGTCTTTCCTGTGCCACCATGCCTGTCTGAACCAAGAACCTGCAGAACCCTGTGTGTTCCAATAAATATTGGACTTTTAATCTTCCCTCTGTGTCTGTGAGTTTTGCATTTGGGCTAGTAAAACCTGCGTTTCATGACAATAAGACTTTTGCATGTCAGTATATCTAATTGACCTTGGTAGGTTTAAAGATATGCAACGCTATTTCCATTTTCAGATTATGGTATGAAATAGCAATCTTGTTGATGTCACCAGGGCTTGTTAGATTGTTTTTGAAACCCACCCTTGCCTTGATCTTCATGGTGTAGTTTCTTCACCATTGTTCTCTAACAAACCTGTGAGGTCTTAAAATAACATCTGAATTTAATGTAAATGTGATTAAACTGCACAAAGGCAACCCTATTTAGCATAAAGAGACATCTGAAGTCATATTTTATCAATAGCTATTAGAGTAAGCTAGTTTAATACAGGCATACACTAAAGTTATGTAATGCTTTGTCTTGGCCTATGATTTCAAGTCTAAAAAGTACATTAAACTTTGTGGTTAAAACTGAAACATTCAACAAGTATAAATGCTTTCCCAATTTTCTAAGGCCGAAGATTATTCTCAAAGATAAAGGGAAGTTTCTTAGATCATTAAGATTACCTTTTGACCTTTACATTTTTTTGAAGCTGACAATTCATTAATTAGCAGGAAGAGGCACTGACACAAAGAGCATAATTCATACAGCATAGGCCTAAAGCAAACTCATCAGTCTTCAAAGGAAGTGTAACTCTGACTCATACGCAACTGCCATTTGGCAAAGAAACTATTCTCAAAGGATAACAGCAGCAAGTTGAATATCAGTCACACAGTCCAACTATGATAACTCTTAAACATAGTTGTAACCCCCAAAAAAGGAAGTTATCTATATATTTTTTGTTAGAGTAAAGTTCCACCTCAGGTGATACATTTTCTGAGATAAAAAATGTATGGCACAATGTTCATGTTTTTTAATAGGTTGCAATCATAAATATTCTACATCTTTTCTACTCCTCCTGGTTTTACATTTTTCATCTCAGTAGAGAGGGGTCGTTGCTGAATATACGATGCTCTTCTGACGCAGAGTCATAACAGGCAATGTGTTAAGCATTTAACATGATTATTGAAGTCATGCTATGAATGTTATATGCCAGTTTTTTTCATGCACCCAAGCAGATTAAGCAGTAGGGCATTAATATTTTTAAAATTACAAATTTTTCATAATTTTAAACAGATTTCTGAGATACAGGAGGGACATGGAATGGTGGTCTTATTGTTCTAAATCACAGGATGTCTGTAGATGTTTACATTTGAGACAGAATTTCTGCACAGTGTCCACGCGAAGAGGCGTGGAAGCCAAAAGTGACTTAATTTGACCATGCAGACTTTGTTCAGGCTCAACCATTAATCATGCTTCAACCTCCTTATCCATCTCAGCTTGGAATTGGTAAATCCTCCATGACCTGTGCCAAACTAAACTGGAGGTAGTCATTGGGTTTGTTTCTGTCAACATAATTCGCCAGAGACCTTAAAGGGATAGTTCGGGATTTTTGACATGAATCTGTATGGCATCCCCATCACCAGTGTCATGCAATCACACTGACTTACCCCTGGCAGCGTCCTGTGAGCAGAGTTCTCGTCCAGTTTTGGTCAAGCCGAAAGTAGTCCGGCAGGTTTGCTAGACCCAGCGAAATAAAACGTTTCTCTTCCCAAAACATTATGTGTTCAAAAGAGTGATATTTTTGCATCCCAAAAACATTGTAGTGGAAAAAGTCACACGTCGTTATCAATTGGTCCTATTTTCTCTCTGTTCGTATCAGTGCGCGCCGTCATTCAGACAGCGAGCTCAACAACAGCCAGATGCATGTCTCCCTCCGCCTAGCTCCTAGCTGGGCGGAGGGAGACATGCATCTGGCTGTTGTCAGGTTAGTAGGCCCTAGCTGTCTGAATGACGGCGCGCACTGATACGAACAGAGAGAAAATAGGACCAATTGATAACGACGTGTGACTTTTTCCACTACAATGTTTTTGGGGTGCAAATATATCACTCTTTTGAACACATAATGTTTTGGGAAGAGAAACGTTTTATTTCGCTGGGTCTAGCAAACCTGCCGGACTACTTTCGGCTTGACCAAAACTGGACGAGAACTCTGCTCACAGGACGCTGCCAGGGGTAAGTCAGTGTGATTGCATGACACTGGTGATGGGGATGCCATACAGATTCATGTCAAAAATCCCGAACTATCCCTTTAAATCATTGGCAATGGATTTTAAAGAACTTTCCATCGGGCAAATGATCTATATAGGAACTCAAGTACTCGAGTCTAGGCCTTTGGTTTAGATGTGAGCAGTAGGTAGGATGATACATACCACTCTGATCAATCGAGATGAAGACAAATGTTAAAACCACCCACCTCATTAACATACAGACAGTATAGACATAAATCTAGTAAGAAATAAACAAAAGTAGAATTAAATTAATGTGTAAATAAACAATTTTAGAAACAAATAAATGTAAAAATAAATAAATGAATAATCCATAGATGTATAAATGCACAAGAAAGAAGAAAAACATGAATTAAAAAAACAAAAAATAGACAAATACAAGTTATGAAATTATGGAATTTCCCAGAGTTGTCCATGATATATAATTAAAGCGACTGGAGAACTGGGTCTGACTCTGAAACACAGCGCTGAACTACATTAAGTCCTACCTAAAGAAGAAGAACTTCTTTATGCCAAAAGGCAAGTTCCTTTTAGAATGGACACAGGTCACATGCAAAGTTCCCCAAGGTTCAATTATGCTCCCACTATACCTCAAGGTAATAAGTAATAACATTAATTACAGGTGTTTCCGAACCTATCAATGTGTGAATGTTTTTGTCCACCTGGAGAAAGTTTCTTCAGGTGGACAAAAACCAAACTAAAGTTATTATCTTTGGACCCAAGCAAATAGGAACAATCAGGCGTCAGCATGCAGCAATAGCTACTACATTTAGAAACCCGTGAACGGGCTCAAAATGTGGGTGAAGTAAT